CCCCTCCTCCCCGGGGAGAGCCGCTTCTTCGGACGTGCACATGCATCGAGGCAAAAGCCGCGCGTCGGCCCCCTGGACAAAGGGAGTCAGTCCTACGTGTGTTCCGTGTGAGAGCAGCGTGTTTCGGGGGCTTCCTCTGTTCCCCGCTGGCCTTTTCCCGTCTGTCCCAAGACGCTCCCGGTGGCCCTTCCTCGATCCCCAGGTTGGGTCTCACGCCGCCGCCGCCCCCGGGGCTCATAGATAGGCACCTTGAACACCAGGCCAGGTGGAAACGCCCCGGTGCCGGTTTTGTTATTCCTTTCTGGTGATGGGGTTGGAACAGAAAGGGGGAATAACAGTGGCCTTATTCATAACCACAAAGAGTCCTGGCAAAAGTAAGGTCGGTTACACTGGTCAATTACACGTCTTGATGGGTCGACATTGCCCCCTAACTGCCTGGTGTAACTGACCGCCTTGGCTGGCATTATTTCTCTGTCCTTGCACACCGACTCAGGTGGGTATTTTTCTGAACATTTGGAAGAGGTGGTGTTTATTTTTTAAAAGCCTGACCCATGTTTGATGTATCCTTGTAAGTTTGTTGGTAGTACCTGCTGCCTCTTCTACAGCGGCTGAATGAGCATGGCCCCTCCAGAAGTATGTCCAAAGGTGCTGAGGCCAATACTGAACAGAATAAGGTAACACAGCACCAAACCCATCCACTTCAGGGACATCAAAATGACTAAAAGTGAGGGAAAGTTTTCTGCACACCTCTCAAGCTCCAAATGTTAAACCAGAAAAGGCTAGCCCAAATCTACGGTGAGCAACAAATAACACGCATTGCCAAGCGGGTGAAGAATGAAGAATGTCTCTCACCAGGACAAGACTCTAGTGGGAAAAGACTCTGTAAATCACTTAGCAGATTTCAAAGCAAAGAAGATCAAAAAGTAATCAAGTAAAATGGGGCTATTTAGATACAGGACAATTTTTCTGTGACTGTGGGGAAATTCAATCCACGCAGCACTCAGGTGCATACAGTTTCTGCCCCACCATGGGTACAAAAAAGGATCTAGCACATGGTCAAGATAATGCTATTGAAAAAGCACGCTTCACGTCAAAAATAGTCTGATTATCTTGACATTTTAATTTGTTTTTAATTTTTTTCCTATATTGCATAGAGACGTTCATTTTACATAGTGGAGTGCTCTGATATGAATAAAGAAGCAAAACTGCGACTCCCAAGAAGTCCCGAGAGCTTCCTACCCCCCCCCTGCCAACAGGAAGTGAAGGCTATGCAGGCCCTGCTCTTGGTGAAGAAAATGTCGGTATGGTGCTTGGGGACTGAAACTCCCAGAATTCTGCCTGGGGAATTCTTGGTGAATTCCAGGACTTCAGAGTCTCTCCCCCCCCAAACAAAGCAAACCTGAAAGCGAACACCCTTGTATCGACTCAAACAGGATCAGCTGTGCTCCTAGCAAGCCCACCGAACGGCATCTGGTGATGGTTGCTCGGTTGCAGATGCTTTGCATGCAGTGCAAAAAAGGTTATAGATTCAGTCCATAAAATCCACAATGAATACTGGGAAAGATTCCAGAGGATTTCTCTCAGGCTGAGCTAAGACACACCATCCTCTCCCTTTCCTAGTAGGTGGGCTTGGAAGGCCCAGCTGGGTTCCTCATCTCTTGTATCACCTCAAAGCCACTGTCTTCCATTCATTTCAGCAGCACACTATGCGTTTCGTTAAACAAAGCCAGGCACAAAAACTTGAGCCGAACAGGAAAGAGGGAAGAAACCAGGATCTCTCAGGTCCTGTTTGCCAAAATGTGTCCCTCCCGCCCTCCCCACCCCTCTGGCACACTCTGAGGGCCTCCCAGATAATAAAACCCTGAGATTTTCCATGAAGAGATCATGCTGCCATGTCCAAACACAGGAAACGAGCTCCTGAAGCAAAGCGTTTTTTAAAAAAGACTGTCGCATGGTCCCTACATAATACAAATGCAAGAGCAGGCGATATCGGACGGCTAAAAAAAATCAAACAGCTCACTTTCGACATTAATGATTGTGCCAGATCTCCTCCGCAAGGAGAGTTCAAATGCAGTCAGAGAAAGTTGTTGGGAGAGAGTGGTTTCAAACTCCACCCCAGGTAGCCGTTAGGATTTCCCCTCCCAGTTCTCCAAACAAAGAACCGCCAAATAATCCTTCCAATAATCTTCCAGCCAGTTTCTCAAGGTCACCCAGCCGAACGTTACTCCAGGAACGTGCAAAGAATGGAGACTGACAAGTCCTATCTGGGAAGTGATTTTATAGAATTGCAGAGTTGGCTGGAATCCCAAGGCCTGGGGGTTCCCCACCTTGGGTCCCCAGAGGCTCTTGGACTAAAACCCCCAGAGAGAGAGAGGTTACCTGCCTGTAACCCTGGTTCTCCGAGTGGTCCTCTGTGAATCCACACAGCCTGCACAGGGCGTCTCAGAAACTTTTAGAGCTTAAAGATATGTAATTGGGGTTATACTGCGCCTGCACAGGGCGTCTCGGAAACTTTTAGAGCTTAAAGATATGTAATTAGTGGGCCGTTCCCTCATGGAGCGCCTGCCCCGCCTGCCAAAGGCCTCCTAAGTTCCCATAAGTCTGCCTCTGTCAGATATAAATTGAGACTACAATGACGGACAGAGGGGAGGATGGGCGGGATGTGTGGATTCACAGAGGACTCACAAACTCTTATCCAAGTGGATTGTACAGTGCACAAACAAGATCCTGCTCTCCAACGGCCACAATCACTGCCTCTGAGAACAACATCAGACTCATAGCTGTTTGGTTTCCAGACCTTTTTCTTTCTTGGGGGGGTCAGTTAAAACTGCAATTCTCACAAATTAGTTTTAAAAACAGCCATGAAGGCCACTGAAGCCCGTGTTTTAAATGCACTCCTTACATTGAGCAGTCATTTAAAATAGAAAAGTAGGCGCCCCCACTGGTGGCATGTAGGCTCACAGGTTACTGCTGTATCTTGGACCTTCTCTTCCTACCCGGATCCTTCAGATTTGAGATGCTGCAGCTTGAGACAAAGCGACGATGCCTCCAACCCAGAGCCCTCTGGGACTGTTTTTTAAAGTGTGCAAGAGACTGGCGGTGGTGGCAGGGCATAATGGGTGCCACTTGCTCCTCAGGTGTTTTTACATCTACTTACCCTAAATAAATAAGGTCACATTGTATTCAATATTATTAAAATGAGTCTCACAATCATAATACTAACGATGATTAGCGTATACCAGTGTTTCCTAACCAGGGTTCAGTAGAAGAATGGAACAGGTTTTGTGACAAGTCTGGTGATGCAATTGGCTTGTCCGTTTTCATTTGTAAGGGGTTTCCAAAGATAGGACAATTTATAGTCCCTTACATGCCGAAGTCTCCATTCTACCTTACAGAAAATGCCTGCATAAAGCAATTCAGATTCAAACATCAGGGAAGAATCAAGAGGCTCTCTTGAACACCTGCACTACTCTTCCTTTTGAGGTACAGAGTTGAGCATTTCCCAGAAATTCTCTTAAGACCACTTCATCTGGGTTGGCTTTTACAGGGGCAGATATAAAACAACTGCAGGGATATATTATAATTGGCATATATTTTACCTTTTAAAATCCTATTGGTTCTATGCATCATTTGTTATCCAATGCATGCCTTCAGGTGGATTAAAAATGTATTACTAAATTAATGGATAAGAATAACTTATTACAGTGGTGCCTCGCATAGCGACGTTAGTTCATTCCACAGAAATCGCTGCAGAATGAAAATGTCGCTATGCAATATTAAAAAGCCCATAGAAACACATTAACACGTGATTAATGCGTTCCTACGGGCTTAAAACTCACCATTCAGCGAAGATCCTCCATAACACAACCATTTCTGGTGCCTCTTAAGCGACGAATCCCTCTTAAGCAACGAATCCGTCCCAGAAAACAGCCGGCGGCCATTTTTTTTTAACCTGGCAGCCATTTTGAAACCGCTGATCAGCTGTTAAATCATCGTGGGCACCGATCATCGCAAAGCGAAATTCTCCCATTCGTGGGCACCGATCATCGCAAAGTGAAATTCCCCCATAGGGAACATCGCAAAGCGATCGCTTTTGCGATCACAAAAAATGCGTCACAAAGCAATTTCGTCGTAAAACAAAGCAATCGCTATGCGAGGCACCACTGTATATATACAGTATATATAATGTAATTTATATATGCATTCAACAGACAATACATGAAAGAAAACAACACAATCTAGCTTTATTTGCAACTTAAACGTTTATTTAGAAGCTAACATTGTCTTCAATGTCCAGAAATTTGTATTTTTCCCCTGGCTTGTGTAAAAGTGACAAATAGCAGCAGTTGGAAACACTGTTGAAGCAGAACGGAGAAACTGGTTTTGAGAAGTTGGCAACTACTGGGGAAACTTGGCCTTTTACAAAAGGCAAAAAATATAAATATATACACTCTAAAACCACAAAAACCATTTAACACTACAGTAGTTCAGATGGGGTAACTGTGGACCCATCAGCATCATGTAAACTGCAACTCTGCTAAACAGACATCTTAACCGCATCAAATCCCTTTACTTGCTTCCAGTTTACATTCTTGTGATCTGCTGATGGTACAGATAAAAAGAAGCACTGCAGTGGCTGCTCGCAGGACAAGGTGCACAGGAACATGTGAGGGAGGATGTTCTGATCCATCCTGCGTGACACGTACGCATTACACGTTGCTCAGAGCAGCGACCCCAGGAAGAACTTTACCTGTGGGTTGTTAGAGGACACATGTAAGTGGACTCCTTTCTTAATTATCATTCTATTACATCTCAAGGTGGAATAAAGAGTCAGCTTAACAGGCTATTTTTCATCTACAGTAGACCCCAAGGTCCTTTTATAGGGAACTTTTGTTTTTGAAAGAGCCCCAAATGTCAACAGAAAAAGAATCTGCTTCATCACCTCAAAGGACAGAGGGAAAAAGGCAAAAGCTTGTTGCATGCACTACACGAAGAGAGCAGGAGCTTTGCTGGCCATGAGCCACTAGAGTTTCAAAAAGGAACTCACACACAGATTCATCCATTACATAACAGGAAATAACAAGAACTGCCCAGAGTATACCTTTGGTCTAGATGGGCGGGATAGAAATCCAATAAATTATATAAATAAATAAATAAGGTTTAGTACAGATTAATCCTGAAAAATAACGTTAAACCTCTATCAAAGATGTTAAAACCCAGTCATTGGTGACTTAATCCAGCTACAGTGTGTCCTGGAAGAACAAAAGCGGAAAGCTGCTTAATGCCAGTTCTGTGGTATTGAGCAAGATTCTCCCATCAGTTTTCACATATATTTAGACTAGATTTTGGGAAGAAGTGGGTAATTCAGAATCAAGACAATCTTATGTTATTTTGTGAACTAAATAAAAGGAGGTTAATCCAATTCACCACATTCCTCAGGGACTCGTTCTCATCCCAGGTCTCCTAAAATTGGTGATGCCTCAGAGAGCCTCCAGTTTGGATGCAAAATGTCCTTTATAGCCGCCTCCTCCTAGTTTGCATGCTTTCCCTTCTCCGTGACTTCCTTGGCAACAGAGACAAAGGCCCTGGCCAGCAGAAAACGCTTGGAAATAAACAGCCGCATGTGACTTTCGTGAGGGTCTTTCTCCATGAATAAATCAAGGCCACCACAGTATGGGAAAATTTACATGCATTGGAAAAATCAGCTAATTACCAGAGGGAAGCACGAGTCATTCTGAGGACAGTCTAGCTCATTGTCAAGCACCTATACGTTAATGTTAAACTGCAAGTCCTTCCTGACCCAAGACTGAGTCACTGCCAGAGGAAGAGAGCGGCTCTCTGGAAAGCTGCAAGTACAGCAAGAATCAGCCTTTCAAGTCTTTCCTGACCCAAGACTGAGTAACTGCCAGAGGAAGTTTACAGAGAGCAGCTCTCTGAAAAGCTGCAAGTACAGCAAGAATCAGCCTTAATTTTGGAAGCAAATCTTAAGAGCCTGAAAAAAGACTGGGCCAGGAAGGCTCTCTGAGCGGGGGTTGTTTGGAAAAGTGTAATGCCAGTGCACTAAGCAGACACCTACAGAACTTCCCATCTTTTTTAAAATGCAAAACACAGAAACTGGCTTGTGACTCCTATGGAGGCCCTAACCTAAGTGCTTGTTATCTGAGCAACTGCATCCCTTGTGAGTAACGCCTCTGGACAGATGCACTACTTCTTACTATGTAGCTCAAGGCACTTGACTACACTCTCCACAAGTATGTATCAGCCTGCTGAAAGGTATACAAATAAATAGTTAGCAACTGTCAAAGAATTAAAAAAAGGAGTTACCTTCTAGAAGTTCCAGGCTGGCACCACCTCCAGTGCTAACATGACTAACTTTATCTTCAGTGTTCCACTTAGCGCAGCATGTAGCAGTGTCTCCACCACCTGTCAACAACAATAGAGAGTGGAGGGATGTCAGAGGATCTTGCACAACCCAGAAGAGGTGGATTGGAGCTAGACAGACCCAGTGGTCTGACTCAGGGTAAAACAATCTCTCCTGAACTTTCTCCTAATGGAAGGGCAGGCAGGCAGGCCGTATTCTGAGTGAGCAGAAAACTACACATTTAAACTGTCAATTAAAGAGGAAGAGAGTGCTGATCAGTCCTTACCAATGATGGTAACACATCCTTTGGCTGTAACTTCCACAACCTTATCCATCACAGCTTTGGTTCCGCCGGCAAATTTCTCCCACTCAAACACACCGACTGGACCGTTCCACACAATCTGCTTGGCTCTGCCCACCGCTTCAACAAACAGCTTAATGCTTTCAGGGCCACAGTCCAAGCCCTAGAAGAGGAAAGAGCCAATTGCACAGTTCGGCCACATCACCACCGAGTGGGGAGAAGTGAAGGGCACTCTAAGCTTTCTCTGCAGGCAGCGCCCCCTCCTCCGCCGTTAAAACCTACCATCCATCCAGCAGGGATCCCAGAGGCCACTGTAGCTTTTCCAGTGTTGGCATTCTCATCAAATTTATCTGCAGTGATGAAGTCCACGGGCAAAGAGATCCGCACCCCATTCTTCTCTGCCTTGGCCATCAGGTCCTTGACGATCTTTGATCCCTCTTCGTCAAACAATGAGTTGCCAATCTGGAAGGCCAAGTAAAGGCATGGTATGTTCCTTTTACACACTGGTGAGAAGCCAGTCAGGGCCTCAGAATCAAGGCTTCTGCAATGGTCCTCCTCACTTTGGGCACTCAAGATGTTTAATATAATACTTGGGTTCTCGTAAAAGACAAAGGAGAACCTGCAGACCCATCTTCATCCCCATGCCATTCCCTACATTCTTGAATTTGCAAACAGAACTCAAATGACAGGTGGATACCTGTCGCACTTAGCAGGCGGATGACAATCTAATGACTGAAAACCAAAGACAACAGCCTGGACATGTGGAATGCTTCACATGTATCCCCTTTCCTAAGGATGGGCAGATGCTACAGGTTACCTACCTCCATGTTGTTGAGAACCTTGAGAAAGGTGAATGCCATCCCACCGCCAATAATCATCTCATTGACTTTATCCAGCATGTTATTGATCAGCTGAATCTTATCTTGAACTTTCGCTCTGATGAACAAATGAGAAAAAGCAAACCACATTCTCACTTCAGGGGTTTATTAGCAGAACTGTAAAATGTTAAAAACACAAGAGTAGTGGAAATTGGCATACTTTCACTGGACTACTGCTCTGTATTGTACGACCATTTGAGAATGAGAGTTACCTTCAGCTGGGGCAAAATCCTGCAACCAGGCTGTTGATCAAGGCCAGTTAGAGGGTGCATGCAACTTCCCTGTTATAGCCCAAATCAAAGTGCTGGTTATGACCTTTAAAGCTTTATACGGTGCCAGTGCAGGCGACCTGTGGAATCACCATCTCCCCATATGAGCCTGTCTAGGTTTTAAGGTCTTAATGGAAGGCCCTTTTCCAGCCTCACCAACTTCACAGGATCAGAAGGCTGGGAAGGATTTAAGAGAGAGTGCCTTTCCAGTAGCTGCTCCCAGGCTGTGCAAGCTCTTCTGCTGGAAGTTAGGGTTGTTTCCACTCGGTGGTCAAAGGTTGCAGAGACTGAATGTGTATCTTTGCTTGGGTTTTTTTTAAAACACTTCCCTTGTGTGTTTATTTGCATTTTTAATCTTTTAATTAATGTGTCTTGTTCTCCCCACCCTCACAGCATTTTGCAAGCTGCCTTTGATCCCTGAATTGGGGGAAAGAAAGCATATAAATGAACAAGATATGTATTGACACCATTATTTGAAAAGCCCTCTCTCCAACTGAAGAGAAGAGAAACTGCACAATTCTTTGAAACACCGGCTTGCCTAACTCATCCTACAAATCTAGATTTGGCTAACCATTACAGTCTCCATCTGTAAACACTGGCATTACATTTATTAAATACACAGTGAGGCTGGACCCTTGTTCCAGCTCCTTCACTGACATTCCAAGGATTCTCTCTCTTGTTATGGAACCCAATGTAATGTTTTCAAGGACAAATTGGAAAAGGGGCAGGCAGGCAGCTGAAAATGGAACCCACCCAAAACCATTCAGTAGATTGTGCTGCCCCCTAATGTCCAGAGATGTGTGAAGCCGACAAATCATTTCAACTGTTAATCAGTCCCAGAAGCTGCCACGCTACTCTCCCTAGAATGTTTTCCAAACATGATCCACATGCAAACAAGGGGATTATTCCAATTTGGGTGTTACAATTCTAGATAGTGTTACAAAAGTTGGGTGTAAGTGTGAACTTTCCCCCCAGACCTCTTAAGCCTTAATGCCTGTATGAAGACACTTCAGCAAACCGTAATTATGCATCATTTTAGCCAGGCTTTCCTATATTTCCCATTAAGAGCTGGCGTTGGGATCTTTGATCTGTTGCAATTTAGATGTGTAGCAGTGGAGGCAGGTCAGCCCCAGGTATGATCTTTGTGAGATGTAGCCCGGTTTGTCTTGCTATCCTATTGTGATCAGATCTGGAGAGGGGCTAAAAAAATAAACAAAATAGGAGGAGGAATTCCCCCCCCCAGCCAAGAGTCAGCTTGTCCTGCAGTGATTCTGGGTCCCAATTTCCAGGATAAATAATGTTGGGCAATAGGGAAGGAACACCTAACTAGGCAGATAAAACTAATCACACTTTTAATTAATTATTGCTTCTTTCTCAGTATGGCAGCAACAGGAATGCCAGAAGTGACCACAAGTTGATTCAATGCATTTAGAACAGCACTTAGCAAGATCTCCACACTTTGTATGTGCGTGTCTTTGTTAAATGCACTCCTGGGCTTAAGAACTGCCCAAGGAAAGGCACTGCTAAGCAAAGAGGGAGCACACCTTTTTCACACTGAGAATCTAGGTGGAATCAGGAGACCTCATCCTCTACAGTTTAATAAATGTCCACTTCCAAACCAACTCTCTGCTGGAGGCTGGAGGAGCCAAAGTGTACTCAGCGTCAGTTAAGTTACCATTGCATAATGACAGGCCGTTTCAATTTACACACAGAAATGTGGAGCAGAGGCTATGTTTGTACAGTACTTTGAACTTGGATCAAAAGGTCAGACACACAGACGATTCTGACTGATCTATCCCACAGATGTATACATTGACCAGCCTTGGAACAATCTTTAAAGAACATACTTGTATGTGGATATGCGGACAGAACATTCTCTTTTCAAATAAATTGTAATGGGGAAAAAAACCCAACACATTGAAGGAGATATGCACACAGCACGAAAGTTTTTGCATTTGGCTTTATTCTTACCCTCCAAGGATTGCTAGGAAGGGGTGCTCTGGATGCTCTAAAGCCTTAGCAAAATAGTCCAGTTCTTTCTTCATCAGGAACCCTGCAGCCTTCTGAGGCAGATTGACACCAACCATGGAACTGTGACATGGGGAGAGAAAAATATTGAGACCTTAGTAATCTGCAAGACTGATGGACCGACAAAGATGGATCAAACTCTTCAAAGTCCACAACTGTCTCCATATTTAACTTTACGACCTGAGATTTCAACCTCTGTCAGCTTGGGTAGTTTTGCACAGTAGACTGACCAAGGACTCATTCAAAATTCAAAGAGCCAGGCGAGAAAAGATTATCCAGTCTATATGTACCAAAGGATGCTATGCTACCATTGGAGATGACCTTGATTACTTACTTTTACAAGGGTAGTTCTAGGATATTGATAGGAATCCACACCTAAGTACAGTGGCCAGAATCTTACTACATGTTTACACCACTGTAACTCCACTGGTACAAATTTCAGCAGCAAACAGCTGTAAGTTAAGACCTCTATGCAGGCATTTGCTACTGCACACTGAGTCACACTTCTTACCTGGTGGCAGTTTGCCACGGAGACTCACACCAATGGAATTTCACTGGAGGGCCTAACGAACTGGATTCTGGCCATAGTGTCCTACCCTCCAAATTAAAAAAATACATCCCAAAGGCCAGGGCGCACCCAAACACGGCTTCTTATGACAAGACCTACATCAGACCCAGTATAATCTGTAAACTGGTCTCACTCCAAGGGACTCTCTCTTGCTGTGGGACAGAGCCAAGCCAACATACAGACCCACAGAATAACTTGGCTGCAGATGGAGGTCCAGCCACCATGCCACATGGGGTATCCTCGCTAATCTAGAACAGTGAAGTGTCTTTTTATTTGTAGAAGACAGGATGATGGTGACATACCTGTGGGCTCTATGTGCAGTTCCGAAAGCATCATTGATATACACGTCTCCTAGTTTAGAAAGTGATGCTCTGAAAGCATCTACCTTTGCTTGATCAGCCTTGATCTGGAGAAAGAGAATAAAAACCCATTGCCTGTTTTAGCTTGTCAAAAGGTAGCAAATTATTCAGAAGAACAATATGATTCTTCTTCTGTATTTTTGAAGATGAAATCAGTTTGTTAATGCAGTGGTGCCCGGCTTGACAATGATGTGTTCCAGCAAAAACGCTGTTAAGTGAAATCATCGCCAAGCGGAAAAAAAAAACCATTGAAATGCACTGAGCAAGCGAAAAAAAACCATTGAAATGCACTGAAAACCAGTCAATGCGTTCCAATGGGGGAAATACCTGATTGTGCAGCGAAGATCCTCCATAGGCGGCCATTTTCCGCTCCCTGTCTTGCAAAATGAGGTCAGCAAAAGAGCGGGGAGCCATTTTGAGAGCTAATCGTTAAGCGGAAAATCTTCAGGAACCGATCGTCATGAAGCGAAAAAACCCCATACAAACATCATTTTGCGATCGCTAAATACTCATTGTCAAGCGATTTCGTTGTCTAACGCGGTAATCGTCAAGTGGGGCACCACTGTATACTGGAACACTGCATTATACAGTTGTTTCTTTTCCTTCTTTTCCGCAGTCACAAACCAAAATATAAAGAAGCCAGTGATTCCTTAAAACTGGGACAACAAAGGTCTCTTTAGCCCCCTCCCTCAGAAAAGAAAGAAGCCACACAGGCTTTGGTCAGGTTGTGAACCACACCACACCAGAGCCTCTTGCACTGTTCAACACAGTGGTGATTCAAGAACCCTTTGTTTCAACATAAGGAGTTATGAAGAATAGTCCCTTTAAAAAAAGGATGAAGGCCTTTTCTAGGCACCTCTAGAAAAAAATAAGCAGTGTTCCATTACTGCTACCATATACTAACAACATAATTGCCTCTTAATCCACCAATTTACCAGCTTGACATGATTACCTTAAGCACATCTGTTATAACCAGTAGTAAACATGGGGAGAGAAAACATACTGGTATTATTTAAAGACCACACTGCTTTGTTTGTTTTTCTATACTGTAAAAACAATCAAGTGGTTTTCTTTATTTTGTTGACAATAACAGATGACATTGTTACTAACTACAGTTATCTAATGACAATGTATTATTGCAGCATTTCTTGCCATTTGCTGTAAAACAACTCTTTCATGTGAGGAAAAAGGTTACTAGGGAAATACTGAGCCTCCTTTCTCCTTGGTCCCACCCTTTTGCAGGCCAGTTAGGCTTACGAAACAGCACAACAGAAAGGTAACTAACAGCCAATCAGCAGATCTCCCCCCACCCACCCACTTCCGACCTTGGCATCCTCTGCCCTGGACACAGAAACTCTTTCCTAGCGTTACATCAAAGCATGGAGACAATGGTCAAGAAGGCTGAATTATGACCCTACAACTTGCAACTGATTCTGCAAAAATGGAAAGGATCTCAGCAGCGAGGAGCTGAGGGCTAATTTAAGGCAATATTCCCCCCCTGTTCCCTAAATTATCACAGAGGAAAGTCACCTCCTCCCCTATGACACATGCCGCTAAAAGTGCAGGGGCATCGTTCGTTTATTCCTAATAGAACCTGCCCCTCTCCAGTTAGGGTCTGAGGGACAATGCTTTTCATGTGCATTTTACGGGAAGCCAGCCAGGAAGCTTTGCTTCAGCTGTCCATATGCAATGTAGTCTGGTATATCAAAATTCAAAATGGAAATAATATATAGGTTAGTAGGGATTAGCTATTTAAATAAAAGGTGGCAGAATATGCCACTGAGAGTCATCAGTGTGCATGGTTCTTCAGAGTAAGTTTACAGCCTACACTTTGAAAATGGGAGAGAAAACAAAAGGTGAGGCCAGAACACTATGGGACAAACATGAACAAGGCATCAGAACAGTAAATGTAAATGACCCAGTTTTTATTTCAAGTGGCAATGAGGAGGAAAGAATGATGGTGCTGAGTCAATTTGCACATTCAAGCACTTGATCTGCAGACGTTTACTTGCACATGTTTCTAGAGCAATGTATGGTGTTCTGTATCAAACTGAAAGGGCACCGTACTGTATATCAGCCCTCCCACTGTATGGCTACTGCAAAAGGGAGCCAAGCTGAAGGCTTAGTGGGGTCAGAGCTGCTAAGAAAAGAAACCGGCAGGGACCAAGCGCTCTTCGTGACCTTCAAGAAAATGTCAGAGGTACAAGGAGGAGGCATGAACACCAGATGGCTGACGGGGAAGTAAGTGGTCTCTGCATTCAAAGGTCTTCAAAACCTATGTAAGGTCTGAAAAGGGCACCAGGGCAACATGGGTCTTGTATTGGCTTTTCTGTTTCATATGTTTTCAGAGTTGTTAATTCTATCTCCAAACATGCTGAAGAGGACAAAGCATTGTTAATACTGTATCAAGCACCTGTTTATCATCTTTCAAGCTGCACTGTGAAGGACAAAACTTATAAAATCTACAGGAACAGAACAGAGAAGGTGGCGCTCAAGGCCCAATGAGTGCCTCACCTTATTCCCTGAGGCATCCTTGCCCTTTCCTTCTTCTTCAACATGGAATCGGAGGTTTTCCAGAAGAATGACAGAGCCATTTGCAGGATTAGCACAAGCCGCCTCCACCTCTGGACCCACACAGTTTTTCAAGAATGTGACATCCCTGGAGACAATCCAAGACAAGACACAGTCAGTTTATTATCCAAAATAATATTTCAATGAAAACTCATGAACAGCATCTGCGAGCTAACCTTGATCAAGGTCAAGACAACGTACCTGCCTAGCAGTGATTTGAGCTCAGCCGACACGGGCTCCAAAGAGAACTTGTCCGGCATTGGAACTCCGTCAGGCCGACCCAAGTGACTCATCAGGACAACAGACTTGGCTCCATGATCCAAGCAGTGCTTGATGCTTGGCACAGCTGCCTTGATTCTGGAGGGAAGACAGGAAACCAACTGAGAAATCTGCTCCCCTGATCAGGATTGTAAATATAAGTATCTTATGGGAATTTCTATCTAACACCTCTCCTGTGGTACTTACGCTAACCATTAGCATGGGAAGGGGATTGAACTCACTGATCAGAGAATCAAGAGCCTAGAAATTATAAAATTCTACCAGGGATTCTCACTGCTATCTCATCCAGGGATAAATGTCACGCAGTCCTTCCTTCACACTGAAGTCCCACCCAAAGTGATGTACTTTTTTATGATTTCATCACCAACAGTACCATAGACATTCCAATCATCCTGCTACAGAGACCGAACATCTTTGTCTGGTGCCCACAATGTCTCATCTCCACAAACATCTCTCCCCTGCCCAAACAGCAACACATCTCAAATCTATCTTGGCCAACACATGAAGCCCAGGAAATGCTTCTTAGCTTCAGTATCTCTGAGCCTTGCTAGAAAACGCTAAAGATCATTTCTGAAATCTTATATAGACTTCACTGATGTAACAGTCCATGGGGTGGGGTGGAGTTGATGGAGAAGAAAACATACTTAACCACAGGTCTTAATTAAGAATTTAAAGAGGGCTCTCACCTTTGGTTGTTGGTTATTGCATTGTTCTTCATGGGGACATTGAAATCAACTCTGTTTAAAAAAAAAGGAAATGTTTAATGCATGAGCAGAAATAAAAACCACAGAAACTATAAAGCTGGTTGCTGCTGAAGTTCAGCAAACAAAATTGTCAAAAGGGGGGGGTGCATGAGAGCTCTCTGGGATGGAGTGTCTACAGAGCGAGTGGGTTTCATTATCACCACCCTGCAGCAAGGAGAGGCTGCAAACCCTTCCCAGCAGAGACTTTTTTTGATTTCCACATGTGAAAGTAAGGTAAAATACTAAAGAGCATCTAACAGAAAAATTACTAGTTAAGAATCTTACTAAAAAATTACGCACGTCGTCAGCTGTTAACAAAGACACTCCTGATAAGAAACGACGACAAAGAGGAGGTAAAACTCTAAATGCAAAAGGCACAACACTGGCTATCCGGTAGATTTCAAAACTGACATCAACAACACAGTGTAGAATCAGATTTGTACATCTGACTAACATATGGCTTTGTTTCCTGACCTCAAAGCTGCCTGGGCTTTTTTGTCCCTCTCATTTCAAAAAAGAAAGGGGGAGGGGGAAAGGAAAAGAAAGAAAGCCAAACAGCTGCAGAACAAAAAGCCTTCACCTAAGTTTTAGCAGGGAAAAACGTAATAGGCCTGTACATGGGAGTTCAACCTTCAAAGCAAGGATGCGAAATGCACAGCCCTCTACAAGTTGCTCAGCCGAGTTTTCCTCTAACCGGTTACGGCTGATGAGAGTCCAATCGACATCTGTACATCCACGGGTGTCCCCATTTTAAACACATGTGATGGACTTGGGACAGATTGCTGCTTCTGCTCAATCGCACAGCCCTAGCTGTTGTAAGGACTGCTGATTGCTTTAATCAACCTTATGCCCACTTCTGTGTATTACAATTTTAACTTCTGAAGTATTCCAGCCCAGCAATATTCCCATTCACAGTTCTGAGAAAAGTTGAGCACTTTTTTCTATAAAGAAAAATACACCAGGGAAGGGCGCGTCTTCCAACTCATCTCACATGGCCCTGACTGGCAATTACTCAGCAGAAATAAGGATGGAAGGGGGGGAGGAGCTTCAGAATCCATTTCTACAAAGCCTGCTTTGTGCCCCAAAGCTGAAGGAGAGAGGATGTCCTGTTGTGTAATACAGCAACAGACCAGACACGCAGTTGGTTGAGACTAGGTCTTTTGGGCTGGAATTAAAAGTAAAAGGTAGCTCCAAAATATGTAGTCTCATTCTGAATGTAAGAATTTTGAATATACTTCACATTTCGAAGATGTAAAAAGCCACTTGCAAAGCATCAAATTTTCTCTAGAAAATAATCATATATCGACCTAATGTTTAACCCAGTTGGATGAGGTCTGAATCTCACAGCTACAAAGGAGGGAACTGTCCTGCACAGCCATGAACACATCATCAAATGTCTTTGTACAAGATTTCAAGTTGAGGATCCCAGTTTAATCATCCTTGATCGCACTTTTCAAAAAAAGTTGGGAAAGAGCCTTGAAAATGATAGCATTAGATTTTAAAGAGGTATGTGCACCTTTAGAGGCAATAGGGAATTCTATATACAGTAGTTGCACGATCAGGTTGTTGCAGGAAGAATGGAATTTTCCACTCTTCTTCTCCCAATCCCAGAAAGCTAATATATAAATATATTCGTTTTGGTGACAAGTACCTTCTGTGGACTAGCAGTGTATTAATTGTATAAGAAGGATTTCATGCAGTATCTGTTATCCTTAGCCTCTAAGGAAAGTCCTCTTTTTCTGATTTGTAATTAACTGCAGAGAAGTTTGCCTGAGGCCTATCCTGCATGTTCCTCCCCAAGTCTTTTTAATTTCTCTAACACATTTAACTTTAACATTGTTTTATTTTCTGCCTTATTCGTTCCCTTTCCACTGTGATTTTTTTAAAAAAAATCTCTTTTATTTTGTACTTCACCAGAGAACTATTATTATTGGGCAACCAATGAATGAAATTTGTAAGTAAATAAAATCAAACATTACCCTTTGCAATCTACCACCTCCAAAAGAGGGGGAAACTGACATAAAAATTAAGACTTAGCTTCAGTGACTGCACAGAAAAGACTCCTTCTGGTAGATGAGAAGCACCCCCCCTTTGCCCTGTGCCAGAGACACTATCATTTCAGTGCCCCACCTGCTTGGTGAGGTGGGGCAGGGCATTAAATCAATGCCAGGCTGCAAAAGCCAACAAGCTAAGAATACAGCAGCAAGCATTTGCCGAGGCTAAAACATCTCTCCTTTCCATGCAAAGGTCCCACTAATGCAGCAACCAGCCACCTAAGCTTTTTTTCGGGATGACAATCCTTTGCACACTTATTCAGAAACAAGCCCCACCATCTTCAGTGCAGCTTTGTAGGAGGGGGGCACTTACGGATCCAGCCTGATATTTAAAAGTTGTAACTAAGAAGCCCTCAACAGAAACCACTTCAGATTTGTTTTACCACCGCCATGCCAATTTATCATTGCACCATTTTATCTTTGCATTTTCACTTGAATTCTACTTCATCCTATTTCAATATTTCATTATTTGTTGTTGATTTTAGTTGGTGAACCATCCAGAACTGTGCCCTGAGCTAACGAGGCTGTATATAAATGAAGGAAATAAATAAATAAATTCTACAGGGGGAGCTAGTCTGTTGCATTTGAAACTGACAAGAGGTCTGACTGCAGCTTAAAGGCAAGCAAATTTTACAGGGCAGCCACTTTCGTGGGCTGTGGCAGTGGACCACAAACGGTCCACGAAATCTTCTGCCCAAGTAAAACCTGGTAGCCTTTTTTAAACCCAGCTTCTGGAGCCTCTGTGACCTTCAGGGGGACACCTGAAATTAAAAAAAAGGAGTTTGTGAGAAGGCCTTGATACAGGTTTATACCGATCACTGGCCTCTAGGCCTTCTTTTCCCTTGTGTTATGGGATGCCATAAAGGGGCTGTGGGTTGTTTCCCTTCTCTCTTCCCCCCCACCGCCTTGCCTGGAAGCAAAAGCCTACGTGCCATTTCGCACCGGGGTCGAGGCTGCCTTTCAACCGCCACCGCTTGAAACCACAGGAGGAAAAATCCCCAATTTTTCATCAAATACCACCTGTTTTTCACCAACTCCCGCCCCCCCTCTCCACAAAGCCCCCTTGACCAGCATCGCCTGCTTCCCCCCCCCCCCCATCCCACTCATATATTCTGAGACTTCTCTGGTGAAGGTGAGGCAAAAAAGAAAGAAGCGACACACGTGGAGAGTCCTTTCTCCACGTTACGTGTCAGCCAACCCAGGTCTGAGAACCCTGAGGCAGTCAGGACCCGCCCGCATCGAGGAGGGGATTTAACCCCACTCCCCCTCAGAGACGCGTGTGCGGGGGAGGGCTGCTGGGCGCTGTACACGGGTCAGGCCCACTCAGACGTGACCTTCCGAGAAAGGAAAGACGAGGAAGGGAAAAAAACCGGAGTGGGGTGTTCTTCCCCCTCGCAAATCCGTGCGAGCCGGCCTCCCTGGGCCCGAAAAGCCAAAGGGGGGGGTGTGAGGAAGAAGAAGAGGTTCGCCCCCCCCGAGGCCTCCTGTCTTTCCCCCCCCCGCGCGCCGCTCACCTCATGACGACCCGCTTCCCCTTCACGTCCACCTTGTCCAGCGTGAGCTTGTTGGAGAGAGACATGTCGGCGGCCTTCGCTTTCCTTTCCTCACGACCCGGGAAATGAAGATAACTGGGAGACAAAGATAGATATGACAACGCAAGGAAAGGCTCTTGGACACAGTGAGGCTTGCTTTTGACTAACCATGTCTAAGTTGTCCAATATGGGCACAACTTAGAAATCCTCTCAGTGATTTCACTGCAGTCTATCCACACAGAGCATCCTTAAGAACACAACAGTTTTCATGATAGCCTATCTTACTGGACTGTTGTAAGCATTACCTAGAAATATTTTGAATATGTAGTGAAACAACTGTATAAAAACTACCACTTATGATACTGAATCATTGCTGTGCAAGGAATCGTAAGATGCTGTTTCACATGTTATTCAGAATAAAAATTGAAAGCATAAGTGAGGGATGGGAGTATTTAGGGCCCTGTAGATGTTTTGATCTGCAACTCCTAGCAGCAATACCCAGCATGGCCAAGAGTAAGGGCCTCTGGGAGCTGTCATCTAGAACAGCTGGAAGGCCTAGGATTTCCCCATTCTCATTTAAATGAATTCATATACTGTATACAAATTTGGAATTTGCATGTTCTCCATACCAGTACTGGTGAGGCTTCAGTTACAGTATTTTTCTGTGTATCAGATGCCCCCATGTATAAAGAGCTTTGATTCCTGCTTTCCCCCTCCACTTTCTTTGCAAAAAGTGGGAGGGGAAAACAGGGATCAAAGCACTTTGATCCTTTTCCCTCCTTACTTCCGAGTATAAAACAACCCTCAATTTTTCCTTCAATTATTTTAGGAACAAGTGTCGTTTTATACACAGAAAAATATGGTATTTTAAAGGCAAAAGGAAAAATACGGTAGTAACAATGCCTCATTAAAAATAAATACACTTTACTGGAGAAAGACATACCCGGCGCCGAGGGATTGGCGGCGGGTGGGCCGTCCGTCTCGGAGGGGGCGGGCGCGGAGGGAGGAGCGGCCGTGGGCCCAGTCACGTCCTGCACGGCGGGCCTCGAAAAGGGCGGGAACGGGGTCTGCGGGAAGGACCGTTGCCGGGGCGAAGAGGAGGCGAGGCGAAGAGAAGAGAAGCGGATCGTGCTCCCTGTGAGCCACCGCTTCCCCTCGTCTTTCTTCCTTCCTCCGACAATGCGTTATTTTCCTCACCCTCGACTCGGGAATTCGTTTCTTAAAGGCGGCTCTGAAAATGGCGGGCAAAGATCCCTGAGGGGAGAGTTTGGTTCCCCTCAGCTCTTGAGGCGCCTCTGGGAGCGCTTCTCGTCACCCTCCCTGTTTCATCCTTTCATTTATGGCTTCTTATAAGACTCCAGTTTGTTCCTCCCTTCCTTTATTTTAACGATTCCTTACCCCGCCTTTCTCCTTAAAAGGGGCTCAAGGCGGCTTACATCACTGAAAGACGGAGATTTTCAAACTGAAAACAAGGAGCAGACCACGGTGGTTTACATCCTTAAAAGAAAATATTCGAGGGCAAACAAAATAATAGAGGGGGAACCAGTTCGACCTATCCAAAGTTCTTTTTTGTCTGCTCTGTGCAACCATACTGTGCATTTTTTCTTCATTTGCAGGACCTATACATGAATTTCAAATAAAACATTTGTACATTCACATATACATGCATAGATCTTTATGATTATCATCTATTTGCAGAGACTACTGACAATGACAACCCATAATTTCAGTAGCTAAAGGCCTGCAATTTTTGCCCAAGTTCTGACAATCGGAATGCTTAATGGAAGGTATCTAAAAAACAGCTAAAGGGAGGAAGCGAGGAATACCCACATCTAGAAATGTCAGAAATATACTAACACTCCCCACACACTTTTCTAAATCAAAGTGCTTGCCCCTACATTTTTGTTGCAAAAAATATCTTCCTCCCTCCACGTTTTGCAAAGAAAATGCAGGGGGAAAGCGATTTCTGCTTTCCCCCTACATTTTTGCTGCAAACGTTTTGCAATGAAAATGTAGAGGGAAAGTAGGAATCACTTTCCCCCTGCATTTTCTTTGCAAAACCTGGAGACAGAAAGCTGCTGTTTGCAAGAAAAATGTAGGGGGAAAGCAGAAATTGATTTCCCCCTGCATTTTCTTTGCAAAAGGTGGAGGGGAAAACAGGGATCAAAGCACTTTGATCCTTTTCCCTCCTTACTTCCGAGTATAAAACAACCCTCAATTTTTCCTTCAATTATTTTAGGAACAAGTGTCGTTTTATACACAGAAAAATATGGTATTTTAAAGGCAAAAGGAAAAATACGGTAGTAACAATGCCTCATTAAAAATAAATACACTTTACTGGAGAAAGACATAAATGCTAGCAGCTCCTTCCACCCATCATATTCATCACATGGCCATTTGAAAAATATACTGTATTCCCCAATAGTGTATTGGGGTGCCTCACTGTGATGCTACTATTTCAGCAGCATTAAGCCACTTCACATTATATTACAAGACTTAAAACTTCTTCATTAACTGCATTCTAATGGAAATATAAAGGCCGTTTGCTGCTACCAGGATCCCGAAGCCATGCAAGACATTTCCGTGCCCGAGAAAAAGAACAAAATGGTGCCCTTCCCATTCAATGGGCTGGGAGATGAAAATGTGTCTTCAACACTGGTGATGGGTGAGCATTTTCTACCCCATCTGAAGGTGGGATTCTTCAAATTCCAGTCCACAAAAAGAGCGTGTCCCAGGACCCTGGACTCTTTTCCCTAGGAAGCTGGGCTGAGGGCAAAGGCCAGGTCTGTTTGCATGGATGCCATGCTGAGTTTTTTTTCCCCCTGGGCTTTCTTTTGTCTCCTGACCACATGGCCTGGGGGTGGGGCCTAGGGGTGGGACTTCCTGCTGTAAAAGAGCGTGTCCCAGGACCGCGTGCCGTTAATTCTATCTCTGGCCTTAATATGGTAAATAGGAAATCCAATTAGACTTGCATAAGCTTGGGAGGCAGGAAAGTTTATGGGTCAGATCATACTTCCACACTATTAAAGAGCAGGCCGGGTAGGTGGGGCTCGTCAGCCATGGAAGGCAGCCCATCTCGGAGAAGGAAAACTCCGATTTCAAACCTCCACTGCCTTGTGGCTATATCCACCGATGGAAAAGGCTTCAGGAGTTAACCTCGAGGCAAAATCCGGAGCTGGAGTCCCGAAGGCAGCTCGTGTCGTTCTGCCAACCCCTGCGATGTTGCTGGAACCAGTCGTATTGGCTCTTGCCTTTCCATTGGACCATTTCAGCAATGTGGAGAGGGGGGATTTGCTGCTTGGGTAACAGCCTGTCCTCCATATTACCTTACCCGGGCTTCATGCTCTGGAGAGGACACTCCTCGATTCAGAGCATGTTACCATAGTCTCTCGAGACTGAAGGATGCCTATGATGGACATTGTTGCTCTTCAGCTTTAAATGTGTTGCCCCAGTTCTCTGAGTGATGAAAGAACACTTTCTGTTGAGATGAAGTCCCTATTGGTATCTTTGTAATACCTGTGTTTATTTACAAATGCACAGGTTGAACTTAGATACAGCATTAAAATACTGTCATATGTCTCAAATCTGATATCCTCCCCCCAAATAGCAAGGTAGGCTACGCAACAGGATTTTGGACAGTCTTGCTAAAAAGAGTAAGTAAGGTACACATTTGTATTCTTGAAGGATTTGTATTTTCTTCAATTGCAGAGAAATGTACACATTTCTTTGCAATTGGCAATTGTAAACGCTCCTTATGAATTTAGGATTTTGACCACTTAGCCTCTGTTGTTCTTTATTAACTATGGTTGCAATTAAAGTTTTGTGTTAGGACAGTGATTTCCAGCCTTGGGTAATCCTCATGTTCTAAGACTGCAACTCCCAGAAAATCCAGCCAGCACAACTGGTGGTGAAATTGCAATCTAAGAACACCTGAGTTACCCAAATTTGGAAACCACAATGTTGGAATGTGCTTTGATCGGCTTACATACCTTTTTGGACCACATGAAAGCATTCTGTTCTGTTTTCACGAGCACCATCCTTTCCAATATATGTCTTAGATCTAATACTAGTTTGCTTAGAAACCATCTTTCTCAATTTTTATAGCAAAAGAGCAACTGACAGGAGGGGTAGAGAAACTATAGTAGAAAGGACCGGCCTTGGCCATTCCTGACACCCCAGTCAAGCAGTTGGCTGAATCAGTTGCCTCTTAGTAGAAAGAGCCAGAGAGTTACAAAGACTTTGCAATGTTTCTTCTGTTTATTAATTTACAAGTTGAACAGTAAGTTATTACAGCAATACAGATTCAAGCACACAGGCTGTGCTAGTTTTATAGCTACATTAATCTAAAGCAGCAGCAGAGGCAGCAGCGATAGCAGTATTTTTTAAATAAATTTTTTTTTTGCAGCTCTGTGGCGTTCCTGTCTTCTTAGTTCCATAACCTCAATTTTCAGACTCTTGACACCTTGCAAATGAAACAGCTAAATGGCCATAATGAACAACGTGATTAATGTGGAGCAGGGGGGCATTATATGTGTTTTTTGCCTGAAACACACTGGGAGAAATGACGTTCAGTGCAATATCCATTTATCTCAAATGAATCAAAGTTTTCATCCAGGCATCTTCCTTTTGTTGTTTTTTCTCTCGAGTTTCAGTGTTTGGTAGTCGGTTCGAAAGCATGCAAATGCAAGTAGATCAATAGGCACCACTTTGGTTAACAATAGTAAGAATGCCTCATTAAGAATAAATACACTTTACTGGAGAAAGACATAAATGCTAGCAGCTCCTTCCACCCATCATATTCATCACATGGCCATTTGAAAAATCCTGTCCAAAATCCTGTTGCGTAGCTTACCTTGCTTTTTGGGGAGAGGATATCAGATTTGAGACATATGACAGCATTTTAATGCTGTATCTTTACCTAAGTTCAACCTGTGCATTTGTAAATAAAATTTATGAGTGTGCCTTTGTTTGTTTATTTCTTACCAATACGCCTTCTAGTGGAGATCTTCTGAATCTGCTATCCCATTGTGGTTGTGCATTTCTAAGTTAAAATTTTATCTGTTCTTTTAGTACTTCATTGCTAATAGA